TTTTAGATAATTTGAATCCATGTATTTTAACACATAACTTGGGTTACATATTTTTTGTATCAATCATTCGGATTTTCTTTCCGAGTATTTCGAAAGAGTGCATATCAAGAATATCGGAAAAAAATTGAGAAAGGTTAAAATGGTTATTCCAAAAAAAAACAATATGTTTTAGGAATAATTCAAATATTTCCCAAAATTATCTAAAAATGCTGATATCTCAAAAACGACAAAATTTTGCATAAGGGTAAATATGATCAAACAGCTTCCAAATGACCCCAACTAGTGATAGGAAGTTTTCAATATGTAATCATTAAAAACTTCCTATCGATGTACCAAACACTCTGTATTGATAGGTGCATTTCAGCTTCTATAATATGATATCCATTTACTACAAAAAACTTCATCTAGAAGAGTTATCGGAATATTGCAAAAATTTATAATATGTATGTTCTCATGTATGACAATTCTTTCGATGTCAATGTGGCATAATTAGCTGATGAACTCTGTGATAGACATTACTGGAGCCCAATCAAAATCCTTTTGATGTGTTAAAATTAGCACTCCAACTGGATATTGCACCGAATGTTGTTGTGGCACTCAGATCCTCAGAATTTTATTACCATTGCCACTGATGTAAAATGACGGTCATTTAAAATCGTGACGGTCATTTGCGTCATGACATGTCATGACGGTCATGATCATGGTCATAGTTCATAGTAATTATTTCAATTTAGAACGCCACTACCCACAGTCTATGGTCTTTAAACTCACAAATGGGTTTAAAATAGGGACTGTCAATTATTGATTGAGTTTTAACAAATAATTGGGGATTTCAGAACAGAAGAAATTTCAACAAATAACAAATAAAATAACAAAAATAATAGCTTTTTACCTAACAAATGCAGTAAGTGATACTTCACCGCATTCAAAATTATACCTATGAGCATCTATCTCCAAAAAAAAGGCGTTTTTGAAATTTCTGAACGAGAAGGGATTTTTGAGAGTACCTGAACACCGAATCCACTTTACCGCATACTATGCAGTCTACTTTACTACTGCACATTTACACACTATGCAGTAAAACGGTCACGACTAACGGTCACATTGAATGTGACGTGACGGTCATGACCGTCATGACCCGCCGTCATGCGCGCTGGTCATGACTCACTAACATCACTGACCATTGCCCATAACTCTTGCAAGTGTTAAGAAAAGTTTCTCTTAAATTAAAATTAATAAAAACGTATTCAAGATCATCTCGGCCAAGAAAAGGTAAGCAGTGAGCATGTTAGCAATGATTATTAATGAGCATGAAATCGATACTAAATTAAAAATTAATCATCTACTTGAAGATTTTGCTGCATTCAACGCTTGAAAATTATCTTAAATTAATATACCAATAATTTTATGGTAAATGTACCTACTCACCCTAATGACACAAAAGGTACGATGGACGGTTTTTTTTAAAGTCCGTTTAACGTCGAAACATCCGAGGACTAAAATAGAACGTTGTATAAACGTTTGCACAAAATCATTTTTAAAAACGACGAAAAAAGACGTTCGAAATATATTCACAAAACGTCCATAAGCATAAAGTTCTGGAAGAAAAGTTTTGGAAAGTACTGTTTCTGCACGTGGTAATGTCCATGTTCGAGTGTTTTTCAAAAGGTAAAAAAGGATGTTCTTTAGACGTTTGATTAAGTTGTTTTCAAAACCTCTGTCAGAAATAATTAAAGAACATCAGAATGTTTTCTATGAGTTCGTAATAGTATATTACATACCGAGGTGGAAAGTGTTTCATTACTATCGAGAGATTTAGGTTAGACCGAGGCGCAGCCGAGGTCTAACTGAAATCTCGAGACAGAAATGAAACTTTTCACCGAGGTATGTATACTATTTTATTTACAATCATTCGAATTTTGAAATTTCCATTTGAATTAAAACTAAAAAATACAATAATTAACAATTTCATTTACTTTCGGCCCACGGGTCGAAAGTTTACTTTCGACCCATGGGCCGAAAGTAAAAGTCAAAAAAGTGACATTTTCGAACTTTTTAAAACTCAGTAAAGTCAACATTACATGTATGTTTGTAAATAAAAGTATATTTTCATGAAAAGTAATGAGAGACGTTTTATAAAGATTTTAATTAGGTAATGGCCCAATTAAGGACCGATTGAGAAGTGTTTTATCTCTGCAGGACCATCCGTGGACGCGTTTCGCTGTATCACAGCTCATCAGCACGGTTAGGTCCCGCAGAGAGAAAACACAACCCATTTTTGGTTCCATCCCGGAACTGGGTTTGATACAATGGAGACTCTGTCTTCATCTCACTTGTTTTATAAAGGTTTCTGTTGATCGTTTTCGGGAACACCGTTGGAAACATGTATCCCACGTCCACACGTCCGGAAATTAGTTCGAATAAGACGTCTTTAAAAGGTTGTTTGTAACTGTGATATTTGCATTACCTATAAAATAAGTCTATTGGATGGTGTTGGATACTTTGAAAGAAGTCCAGTGAATGTTTATAGAGAGATCTTTGAAAAACGTCCTTTTTCGTTTTTAAGCGTTCGTATTAAAGCATTTTTGAAGCGCTCATTTTCGACGTCTATATGACGTTTGAAGTGACATTTGCACCAAATAAAAATTCACGTTTGGATATTCTCAGTTACTTTCACTGACGTTTTTAAAACATTCTGACGTCCGATAGGATAATTTTTTGAAACGCTTCTGTGCTATTAGGGTATATCTACATAATGTATCTGTTGATTGTTGCCAAGAGCTTGGATTGGCTGACTCTTACTTTGTTTGTTATGTTTCTTGTTTTCTTATGTTAGTTTTTTTTTGTGGTTACCTAAGTTACGTAATATAGTACCTATGTGGTTTTATTGCTATGATGCTATGCCTTACAATTTCGTGTAATTATTTTTTGTTTCTACAATTCAAGATCTTTCACATTTTCTCTAAGCAGGGCATGGGATTATGGGGCGGCAAATTTACTCATTGCCAAGGGCGGCAAAATACCTAGAGCCGGCCCTGATTATTTAAAAATATATTATGATTAGAAATTGAAATGATCCAGCTTGTCTTGTATTGTTCGTCTTTGAAACGAACATGTACGTCTTTTATAATACGTACGCAATATAGATTTTCACGTACGTTCTTAGTACGTACTTTTTTGTCCGTATGTTAATACAGTTTTTTACGTACGTACTCAAAACGTACTTTTACATCCCCGACGAACCGACGTAAAAAGGACCTAAAATGTACGTCTTCAGTACGTACTGTGTTTGTTGGGTATGTGCCTTGACTATTGAGGGCGGGTATTATAAAACTGCTTTAACAGTTAACTTGAAGTTAACTTCTGGAATTACATGTAATTCAAAAAGTTAACTGTCAGAGCAGTTTTATAATACCCGCCCTAAATCGGGCAGAAACTAGATATATATTTTTTTTATTGATAACCTATTTCACTTATTTAAAGTACTCCTCAGCGTGTTTAAATCCAACATTCAAAAACGCGCGTGTTTTAAAGTTACCAATGACAACATCAACAACCAACAACCCGAGAAAGGTCTAAATGTCAACTTTTTAATTATTGATTTGTCAGGAGTAGGTTAGGTACTTGTAGATAACGCCAAATAAAATGTAACAAGTGTCAAGCACAAATTTAGCATTCAACAATAGGGAACTTGCAAGTGAACTAAAATTTTCCAAATTTGTTTTAAATCGATAGTTTATGCTGCACAATATTCATATGACCAGTTTTTATTTAACTGATACCGCTCTTGTTATACAAAAAATAATATTAAATTTGAAATAAAAATTTTCCCGCCAAAACAATGCTTCTATGATGGATACCTGTTTTGACATCACGATTCCGTAAACAAACCCGTCAATAGGGAAATCTGTGATAGGGAACTTGCACGTTAAAAAAATACAAAAGCAGTCCTTCACAATATTCTTCATCCATTGCGGCAATTTTCATAAAAAGCAAACTTTAACACACTTGAATAACACAAAAATAGCACTGCGTCAGCAGGAGTTCGTTTGCTGTGTATTTGATGTTTACAAAATCTCAACGTCACAAGCGCTGTCAAATTGGGCTTTCGTGTTTTCGCGCCAAAGTATTTGATTTGAATTTCAAGAATTTTTTTTTCGTACAACGTAGAAATTAAAATGGAAAAAAAGAAAACTATGTAATAACTGATCACTAGAAGTATCTAAAAAAAAATAATTTGAGAAATATGAAAATTCCCTATTATTAGTAATTTATGATTTAAACGTATACCAATTAAAAAAAAATAGTGTAAAGTATTCGTGGATAACTGGTCTTTAAAACACTTGCTCTATTTCGAGCACTCGGCGCAAATCGCGCGTGTTTTAAAGACCTTAATATCCGCTTATACTTTAATATAGGTACTATTACGTATTTTTTGGCCCATGTGTGGCCGCCACGCCATCTTGAATGTCACGTGGTTTGAATTGCCTAATATATGAATTTGTATATAGGATTTAAATGGACATCAATCATAATCTATTGTCGCCACTGTATGTAAAGGGTTATTTAGCCACTGTAGCTTTACGTACTACGTCCCAAAAGTGAGCCTACCTTTTCTCCTCATAGTCCTCCAAGGATGATACACCACCAATGTACACCACACTACTACTACAGGATGGCCAATCCTCATAAGGCCTACAAATCCTCCCTTTCCACCCCTAACGCGCCAAATCACCAGTTGTGACGTAACAGCATGTTATTTCTTGTCTTGACGTAGGCTGTATAAACAGCTGACGACTTAATTATGACGTCAGAAATGGTGACATACAAATATAGCGGCGATTACCAAAAACGAGGCCGATAACAAATAATAAATCCTGTAGGTGTATATCATCCTTGATAGTCCTCATATGTGGCATTATCCTTACAACTTACAACCAATTCCAACCAGAAATAATTTCTTGTCTCATTTCATTTCAAGTTTTTGAACAGAGACAAACGAAATATCGCATCAGCTGATTTCGTTCGTGACAAGGCAACTCAACCAAAAACATAACCTATAAAAATTGAACATAAACAAATCAAATGGGCAAAAGCTGAGATTATTTAACATTTTTGGCAATAAAATAATTATTAAAGTGATAACACGATGGCATGGCTTCAAAATTTAGCAGGACGCGCTGAAAACTTGCTCAATAAAATCGATAAAAATGCTGCCACCGTTTTAAATGAAGGCCCCAAACAATTTAGTGAGGACGAAGAGTAAGTACACCACGGAGGTACTATGATTTTGCTAGATATTAAAATATTTCAATTGTTTAGAAAAGGAATAGATTACTATTATGATCCAGATCAGATACGCGCTACAACTATTAATTTACCAGAGATGTCTTCCCCTAGTCAAGAAACTGTAGTAGTAGAAAAACTAGCTGATACTATCACAGACGCCTTTGAAATCCCAAAATCAGGTAACAATTTCAATAACTACATCAAAATGGTAATCAATACATTAAACATTATAGTTACTCTTATTGATGAAAACAAACCAGAAAACTCATCAAAAAGTCATCACAGTTCAACAACCTCCTCCAATTCCATCCACAACAGTTTCATAATCACTCAAGAACTTGATAATTTACAATCGAAACTGGCCAAACTCGAATTGGAGAATCAAGACTATAATAAGCAATTGCTTCACATACAACATTTGTATTCGGAAATGCGCAATGAAAACGCTAGCTTACAATTTCAAGTTGAAAGATTAAATGAACAGTTGGCATCTGCTCAAAATGAAAAGGAACAGTACGTTGCCAGGGCTCAGAGGATTTTGCTGGAAAAGGAAAAGCTGATTAGTTTGAAACAGACTAGCAGTGAAAATGATCAAGAAAATGATAGTAGTATTTTTGTCAATTATAATGAGGAATTAAAGTAGGGAAATAATTAATTAGTTACTTAGTTATATTTAAACTTGTTTTATTCTAGAAAAGAATTGGAATTCCAACAAGCAAAAGTGAGTGAATTGTCGCAAAAGAATTCAAAATTAATAACTGACATGCAATCACTTCAAATGCAACATCAAGTGATCCAGCAAGGTTTATTACAGTCAAACCAAACTCTAGAGCAAAATTTATTAATTGAAAAAAAGCACAGGTCTGCAGCTGAAGAAGATTGTGCTCAAAAACTAAAAGTACTGCCTCTGACATTGCCCAACATTATTTTACTATAAAAATTTTACTTGTAGGATCTTCAAGCAAAATGCCAAGAATTGTTCTACACACAAGACCTTCTAAAAAATTCCAATGTAGAAATCGTCAAACTGAAAGAAGCCTTGCATAGAAAACAAGAACCATCAGACAATGATGAGCTAGCAAACCGAATTCAATCTTTAACTCAAACTTTGATGCTCAAGCAAAACAAACTGGAAACTACAACCACTGAAAGAAATGCGTTGAGGTTGCAACTGGAAAAATTGGAGATGGAGCATAGAAAGAAAATTGCTGAAATGGCAAGGGATAAAGTGAAAATAATTAATGTCCAGGAAACAAATGATGGTAATGTTTTATAATAGGTCTATTCTTAGAGAAATCACAAACCTGTCAGAGCCAATTTCATTGCTTGAAAACTAGTCTCGAAACTAGTTTAAACCAATGTAATTTGCTCCGACTGGTTTGTGATTTGATTTCTCTACGAACATACCTTTGTGTTATTTGAATAAATATTTGGTGATTTCAGATCGTATTTCTGTACCTCGTTTTATGAGAGTGTCGCCACACGATGCTGGGGTCACCAGAAGGGTCAAGCATGCCTATTCTACTTTAGATGCAATCAGTGTTAGGACTGGCATTTTTTTGAGGAGGTATCCTGTAGCTAGGGTTTTTGTATTTTCTTATATGGTAAGCGAAAGGATATTCACAAAAACATTTTCATTTTATTGTAACTTTCCAGGTGATATTACACATTTGGGTGCTCACAGTATTGTTATGGTATGTTCCTTCGAATTAAGCAAAAATTTTATGATTGTTATCTTTTTATTGTTTCACAAATATAACATATTTTTACCTATTTGATCATTTTGTTTATAGAATCGTTTAATTTAAAAGATTTCATTTCTTTTAAAATTAATGCTATATTAAATCTCATCATGTGGAATGCCTTTGGATTTAATTCAATTGTATGGAGTTTTCCATTTTTCAGTTTTATTGACAGGATTATGTTTGGTGGTGTTTTATTCAATAGGGAGCTGAAAATGATTAAAAATACCTTCATATGCATTAAGAATGTGTATGCTTACCTGTTGAATAAACTTATATCTATCCTCCATTTGATACTCGAAACATTCTGAAAAAAAGCATAATGAGGAGCGAAAAATGTATCAACAAGCTCCTTGCGGTTATTCACAAATGGCAAACCCTCGACAAATTCATTTGGAAATCCAATTTCAACCAAATTACTAATAAAATCCTTGTCCGAAGTACGAATAAATTGTTTTATTATTGCAATGTAAATACTTAAAAGGTCATAGAGTTGTTCTTTTGGTATATTTTTCTCCAGGGATAATTTTTCGAGTGGCTTCAAAAGGGGTTGAGGTGTCGGTTGCATAGAGGCCAAAGCCACTGAAATTAGTTGATAATATTCAAGTTTACAATAAAATTGAATTACATACTTTTTACAATTTTTCCTGTAAGTTCATTTGGAAATTCTGTCACAAAACTAATAGTAGCTTTTGAAATTTCTTGTAAATTCATTATGTATGTTGTTTTATTTGTCGAATAAATTAATTATTATTTTAATAATTAAATATTGTTTACCTTTTGAGAGTGTTATGAATGAGGTTATGTTATGATAATGTTGTGACGTGTACAGTTACCTGTCAAGTTAACAACTTCTGGTTGTGTTCCGTTATTGAATTTGGCTAACAAAAATATCCTTGAACAAAATATAAAAAGTCGCAAGTCGGTAAAATGTGGATAGCCAATGCATAGCGTATCACAAATATTTCTTCTATATGGAGAACGGAACAACTACTTCCATGATTTCATGAGCACAAACGCTTTCGTGAGAAACTCATGACGTCATATTGAACGAAATTCGCCGGAATCAATGGACGCAGCTTCTATAGCGAGCGTTCAAACTCGTGACGTCACAGACGAACTATGGTTCGTCCTTGGATGAACTAAAATCTGTTTTTTTTTTAAAGATAAAAGTCAAAATGACATTATGTTGGCAATACAATGTAAAATTGTCAATGCTCTCAAATTTTCTATGTAGAAAAGGCTTGTGTTGCCAACATAGCTACTAAATTTTTGACTTGGGAATTATCTTTAAAAAAAAAACAGACTTTACATTCGTCGCGAAAATTCGGTTTTTGTGACTTTTAATAGATACAACCACAACTACGGCCATACAACCTGTTGGAACGTATGCTTATATGTATGTGACGGCCTTTACATAATGCACACATGCCGCGTATGTAGCTAAATTCAGCTCGATGTGCTCTTTAACCTTTTTATCACTGCCTCGTCTGCCTCTGGAGTTTTGTTTTCAGATCTGTGTATAGGCACCCTGGTGGAATGGTAGAACAACCAGAGTTGTTATTGTCCATTTCCACTTTCCACCATTACCAACTAATTTAGGGGAGCCTTAACGTCAGTGGCGTATCAAGGGGGGGGGGGACAAAGGGGGCTTTTTGCCCCCCCAGAGCAACAACCTTTTTGTTTCTCAAAAATATCTCTAATAACTAAAAATAATTTTTGCGCACGGAAACTCTTTGCGCACTCGTTTTATCTCGCATAATTACCGTATTTATACGAGATCAGTGATTTATACTCAATTTTTCAATGTTTCGTGGGTTTCTGGATAAACTAATATGCAAAAAGAAGGGCTTGATGTTATTTTTGTTCCAAGAAAGGCATTCAGGTGATGTGCAGCAAAACCAGGTGTGAGGTCAAGGGTCAGGTGACCATATTGGCGTGGGGAGCCTACAACTCACATTCCTTTGGAGTATCAGATCATAAAAGTGGGACAGTAAGTTATACTTTTCCATATATTTACTTCTCAACTTAATGGTGTTACGGAAAGAATAAATCAGACACCAATGGAGAAAGCATGTGAAAACTCACATGAAAAAATATCATCCTGGCAAGTTTAGTCTCAAAATTTGGCAGGAAAAACAAATTTCAAGTAAACTTCGCTAGCACAACCACTGTTGCAAATAAAGTCAAGCTGATCTGATCACTGAAAAAAAAATAATATATTGAAAACACAACACGTACCTACTTTTGGACCAAGAGAGAAAATTAATGGTTTTCAGTTTTCAGCATCTGGAAACATTCAAGAAGATTAGACAGCTCCTCTGAATGCTCTGCAAATCTTCAAATGAGTTCAAATACTCGTAGAAAAAGTATTGTTCCTAACAGTTGCGCAAAGTGTCTTTTCCTCATTGAAAGCTTATGAACTCCGCTATGCGTCGTTCGTCTAATGGTGCATTTACATTCACTTCGAAGTCCAATTTGTCTTAAAATTGACGTGCTTGTCATATGGCGGCATCAGCACAAATCCATTGAAATAAATTTGAAGTTCACTTCGAAGTGCACTCCAAATTTGGGCGAGCTGTTTGCCGAGGGCAAGCAAAAATTTGTGAAAGCAGAAATTTGTGAAATGTCAAATCTTTAGATTATTCATCATGATTCCCATAAAATTCTGACGTTTTGACTTGACGTTTGTGTTCTGCAATGTAAATGATATAAGCCGCTTTCCAGCTAACCATTTTGAGCGCGCAATCGAGCTTTTACGCGCGCAAATGCTTCAAACGCGTGTCCGTGTTCCAGCCGTACTGAACACTGTGCTGCACCGTGCTTGCAGCACACAGCTGGAAAGCGGCTAAAATATCAAACGTCAAATTTAACTTGAAGTTAGAAGTGCAATGAATGTGAATGCTCCTCAACTGCTTTTTCGTGCGGGAAATTATCACTTTACGCACTTGTTAGGAAAATAACTATTTTTATGTAGGTACCTACCCACATAACAAAATTGCATCCTTAGAATATATTAAGAATGTTCTTTTTTTAGGAGGAATGTGCCTAGAATGTTCGCCGAAACCATTGCGGATGTCCTGGTAATGTTCTGAGAAAAGATTGTAGAAATACTGTTTGCAATACCCAAGAACTTCCTGGGAAATCCATTAGGATATTCCTAGAATATACCTATGAGATTCTCAGTACATCCTGAAAAGAATATTCCTGTTTGATTCTAAAAATATGCTCGAAATGTATATTCTCACATTCAAAGAATGTTTCTATGACATTATAGTTATGTTCTCAAAAGAATATTATACCAATATGCTTGAAATATTCTTAGAATATATCTACATATATCATTCTCAATATGCATCCTAGATATAACATTCTGATTTTGATTCTAAGGATATACTTGGAATGTTAATTTTCGCTTCCAAATAATGCTCCTTTTAGCCTTTTTATATTAAAGGCAGTGAATGAGTTGTTGGAAAACTTCTCTCGAAAAAACAAGTATTTAATCAAAGCTCAGGTTTCGAGCTTGTTATGCTCTCGTCGAAGCACGCCATTTGAGAGAAACAGGTTCCAAGGTGATTCAAGCGCGAGGCAAGATGTAGATCTTTAATAGCGCGTGGCTCCCTCTCTTGGAAGTCCTACAAAGCAAAAGAAAAAGAATATACCTATAATATTCTTAATAGGTTCTAGATAGAGCATTATTGTTTAATTGTTCAATTAAGATTTTTGAGTAGGTACTTTAGATAATTAGGTGAACAATATGAAAATATTCTTATCATGGTTACCTATACCTACATAAACTTATCAGCGCAACTTGGTAGGTATATTCTTAATACTTGATACAAATATTAGCCGAAAGAACATTTTTTAGGGTAGTTACATTATAATAATGTTCGTATGAGAATATTCAAATAATGTTATATAAAGTAGGTTCTTCGCACAATCTTTCAGGTAGGTGCATAGAAGCAACATTCCTAGTACATAAATAGAACGTTCAAAAATGAATATTTCAATCGAAACAATCTTAGAATATTCATTGAACATTCCTAAAAGAACATTCCAAAAAGCACTTTGAGGGAATATTCTGAGAATATGAATGTTCTTTCAGTGTTATGTGGGTATATATTACACACCTTTGAATTTAACTTTAGTTTGGTTTTGTACTCGGTTTTGTATTTTGTGTTATATGTTATAGTTTATCTATTCTAAATTGAACCTGTTTATTTTCAAGCTATAAGGTACGATCAAATATTAGGTACTTTTAACGTGAATAAATACTCAAAAAACCTATATAAATGTTTTAAATATTCCCTACTAGAAACTACAATCAGCAAAATGAAATACTGGTTGTCGGAACGAAATTTCGAAAAGATTTCTTCATGTTTATTTGTCTGGGCGATGCGACGTGACGCGACGGCGCGGCGACGCCGGTGTACTTTCACAGTAGTTTGTTTTTTTTGTCAGAGGCGGAGGCAGGTTTATACGTGTCTATATTTTTATGAAATAATTGTTTAAAATTTTTAAAAAATATCTCCTAAACGGCACTAGGGCATGTGTATTCCAAAATATCTCAAATAAATAATAATTATAAATTAAATTTTACGTAAGAATCTAAATTATATTGATTTATTATTTATTATGAAACATTTTTGGACACCTCGCCGCCTATGCTTCATAAAGAAAACGCCGACTGTTAATGGAGATTTATTTTTTGTGGTGGTTTCATTTCAATTGAAAATAGATAAACTATACCTACTTGTTTCATGAAAGTCTCAGGAAAATAAATAATTTCAGTTATCATTTCAATGAGCAGCTCAAACATTTTTACAGTGGCGGCTCGCAGGCTAATAATACGGCATTACCATATTTTTTAGTAAAAATATATTTTTCTCCTATTAACGTACATATTAGAAGCGCGCGAATATGCCATCAAGACGTGCGATTTTAACGACTTTTGGGCGTGGCATCTCACAGAAATTTCTGCCTTCGGCGAGCATCTTGTCTGCCCCCCCCCAGAGCCTCAGGCTGGATACGCCACTGCTTAACGTTAAGTATTCCTTAAACTGACATTTCTCGATTTTTCACCTCACGCGGACCATGGATAAAGTGCACTTTACCACGCTAGTACACATTAGACACTTTGGTCTTTGGAGTCAGTAGTTCGCCCTACTTGGCTAATAGAACTATTAGGCAATTAGCTATGGACGAGAGGGCGTCGGTCGTATCCAATAGCATCTGATATTTTGTTGTCAGATATTTATGTGGACGATGTTCTGACAGGGTTTTCAAACTTAGAAACGGGTAGGAAAATCAAATTCGAGCTAACAGAGCTATTAAAGAAAGGTAGTTTCGGGTTGAGAAAATGGGCGAGCAATTGTGCGGTAGTTTTGTCCGACACACCTCTTGAACATCAACAGCCCATTTCTTTTGATACCGAAGAACCTGCTTGCCTTAAAGTCCTTGGGTTGCAACGGCAGCCTGCATTTGATAGTTTTACTTTTAAAATTGGTGACTTTTCGAGTAATGAGTGTACTAAGAGATCCATTTTATCAAATTTGGTTAGGATTTTTGACCCTTTGGGTATGATTGCACCTCTAACCCTATTCGCTAAATGTTTAATTCAGGAGCTATGGAGTTTGGGTCTCGATTGGAATCAAGAATCCCCTCAAGAAGTTACCGAAAAATGGAAAAGATTTCAGCATGAGTTGAGTGCGCTGTCTCTACTGAAAACTCCTAGACATATGCCTGTATTTGAAGTTGAGTGTGAATTGCATGGATACTGTGATGCAAGCCAAGCAGGATATGGTTGTGTCGTTTTTATTCGCGTTTTTGTGGGCGTCGAGTATATAATTTATTTCGTTAGTGGAAAATCCAAAGTTGCACCTTTGAAAAGGGTGACTTTGCCGCGTTTGGAACTCTGTGCAGCTGTTTTGTTGTCAAATTTAGTAGAATTTGTTCGAGACGCTCTGGATAGTAAAGCCGTAATAAAAAATACGTTTGCTTGGTCAGACTCAAGGGTAGCGTTGGCTTGGATCAAATCTTCTGCTCACAGGTGGCAAACATTTATTAGTAATCGCGTGAGTCATATCCAAGACAAAATTTCTCCAGAAAATTGTCGCTATGTTCCCACAAGTAACAACCCAGCAGAGGCTTGTATCCTTCACAGATGCTTGAACATCCTACATGGTTTGCTGGACCTTCATTTCTTTTGTACTCTTCAGACCATTGGCCACCTGATTGGTCGACCAAAACCCCTTCAGAATGCTTACAGGAGGAGAAAAAATCTGTTGTGACTTTGATTGCTATATCAGATCCTCATGGAATCTTCAATAAGTATTCGTCATTGGAAAAAAATTTGAGGATAATAGCGTTTTGTCTAAGATTTCTTAGTAATATTCGCAGAAAGCAAACTGGAATTCCTATGGCTCTTCGTTTAGATGCCCTTTGTGAGGAAGATTTGAATGAGGCACTTTTGTATCTTGTCAGGCAGGTGCAAAGGGAAGTATTTTCCGACACTATGTCTAGGCTGAGTGAGAATAAATCTATTGACAAAGTATTGAGAAAGTTGAACCCAATTGTAGATCCTCAGGGTTTCGGGTTTCCTCAGGGTCGGCGGTCGTTTGACCCATTCGAAGACTTTGCCCTATGATAAAAAATTTCCTCTGTTACTTCCTCAAAAGCATCGCCTTACCGAGCCGATAATATTTTATTTCCACAAAAGGTTTTTGCATCCAGGTTTACAAACTTTGCATTTTTTGATTATGCAACAGTTCTGGATTTTGTCAGCAAAAAATGCTATTCGTAGGTGCTTGTCTTCTTGCGTAAGATGTTTTAGAGTTGAGCCCAAACTTGTTGTGCCCCATATGGGTGACTTGCCAGCAGGACGTGTTTCCCAGGCTAAGGCATTTCAGGAAGTTGGTGTTGACTTCGCTGGACCTTTTTTTGTAACGCCTTTGAAAGGCAGAGGCACACAGGGCATATGCTTGCATTTTTGTTTGCTTTGCAGTCAAGGCACTGCATTTGGAGCTGGTCTCTAGTTTGTCTAGTAACGCTTTCATTGGTGCATTGAAGCGCTTTATAGCGCGTAGAGGTTACTGTAGTGTGATTCGAACGGACTGTGGTACTAATTTTATTGGTGCTAATCGACAGATGGTAGAGCTTATGAAAAAAGCTGCAGAGGAGGAAAAGATTAAATGGTGTTTCAATCCTCCTTCTGCACCCAATTTTGGTGGATTATGAGAGGCTGGCGTTCGTAGCATGGAACATCACTTGATTCGTGCAATTGGACTGCATGTATTGACTTTCGAAGAGATGTATACGGTTCTTTGTTGCATTGAGTCTGTATTGAACTCCAGACCCTTACACCCTGTAAGTAGTGATCCTAACGACATCACTGCTTTAACTCCAGGGCACTTCCTAACATTGGAACCCTTAACCTCTTTGCCATCTAAAGATTATTCGGAGGCTAAAATGAATACGTTGCAACGCTGGGAATTGGTACAAAGGTTGCATGGTGATTTTTGGAAACGCTGGCATCATGATTATTTAAATACCCTCCAGTAGCGTTCAAAGTGGACCAAAAAGCACCCCTCGTTGAAAGTAGGAGATATGGTAGTGATAAAAAATGAATTAAATTCCCCACTTAGATGGTTACTTGCTAGAGTGACTCAGACTTATCCTGGTGCTGATGGTATTTGCCGGGTAGTCAAGGTTAAGACCAAAAACGGTTTTTTGCAAAGGCCTGTATCCAAGCTGTGCGCTTTGCCTTATTTGGAATAAATTCAAAGATTGAATTTTTAGATGAGGTAAAATTTTTATATAATTTGGGTATATTTTGTTTTGTGTTAAAATATTTGATGATTTTAAGGTCGGCGGTATGTACGATCTCAATCGAATTTCATTTATTAGTTAATTTGGTAATTCTGGGGAAACTGAAAACAAGGTTCATTGTATAAATTTAATGTATATATTTTTTGGGTTGTATATAAAATTTGCCCAGCCTACACTAGGCCTGGTTCATCCAGGCACCCTTTTGCGGTACCTCTCTGTATAGTATGGGCACCGCATTCCCACTCTCGAGCATCTGAGCGCCAAAAAATACGCGCGATGTATTGGGAGGAACGCAAGACAGACGCATATTAGCAATTCTACGAATAAGGTAAATTCTTGGCCTAATTTTAAACCCAATTTTTTGACGGATTTACAAACCGTTATTTTTGCAATAAATAAAACGTGATAGCTCGCTTACGGTTTAGACTAAAATTTACGTGCGTGTCGTTACAGGATCCCTTGAGAGATTTGACAAGTGAGATGAACCATCGCTCAGTCAATGTAAAAGTCATTCGATTGCGGATGCCAATCTCGAAGAGGATCTTAGGCTCAAGTTAATCAGAAAACGCACAACGAAGAATATGTCTCGCTGGGTAATTTTAAATGAGTAGATTTAGTAATTTTGTGTTGTTTCAGGTCATAGATTTTACGAAGGGAGTCTCGAGGAGAGATATTGGTAGCATTGGCCGACTAAGCGGTCTTTACTTCCTTCCCGGGACGTGAAGATGTCAGGTTAGGCCGACTGTAAAGAATATTTACTTTCCTACCTAACAAAAAATGCCGGATGACGAAGCGTTGGGTGTTATCAGCAGGAAAAATACGAGTCAGTCCTGATGTTCTACTGGTGGTAATCAGTCGATTTGGAAATAGCAATATATTTTTTTCTTTGTGGCAAATAAAATGTATTTAAATGAAATCGAGTCTTAATATATTTTGATATTGTCAATAAACATCGCATGATTTTCATGATCCCCGTTATCTCTTCATCTAAATATGTGTTCTAATAATCATAGGCAACAATTTCCCAGCAAAGTAATATGGTGTATGGTGTCAAAACTGAATATACATTCTTCCTGTCCTAAAAGTTTTCCAAAGACTAAAAAATTATACAAAAATTCTACGCCAGCTGTTCCCCAAAAAGGAAACTTTTTACTGGGAACTCTTTAATTAAATCGTAAATCTGCTTTCCCAGGCCGATATCTTGTTTTTACAGTTCCAAACTAACCCACTCGTTATTTACACAAAATCCAATCAATTCGCCTTGTTTGAATTAAAAATAATTTATTTCCTATCGCAAAATAATTCTCGGCGAAAATCCATGGAGATTTGGCTTGACCGAAAAACGAAAACCGATTTCCGTTTGAAGTTAATCGAATCGAAAGGCACGGAAGCCATTTATTTTTCTTTGCCCAATGAAAAAAAAAAAGTTTTACTTTTATTTTTATGGAGTTACAGAATAAAGTAGTCGAATTTTGTTAGGCGTAAAAGTTTTTTTTTCTTCTGGGGATTGGCGATGTTGTTTCTTTTAACATACATTTCCACAATGTTCGATTAGGTATAAGAAACATAATCCTACAACTTTTTTAGAAAAAAATTATTTATTTTTGACTTACATGATTGTACATCACATTATCTTTTTTGGTTCGCTAATATACTTTTTGGTTAGTTTTGACATTATATTTTATTTTTTAATTATTATTATAATACAATATATATTACGTATTTATTGCAGTTAATTTTTTTTTTAGTTTATATAATAATAACATACATTAGTTTTAACATTTAGATTTTGTTTTGTATTAGCTGTTATTAAAGAAATTAAAAATTTTGTCAATGTAGGTAGAATGTTTTTATTTTAAAATAATAATAGGTAACTACATACCTTTTGTACTTCTGTTTCTCTTTTTTTTTGATACTTATATTATGAAAATAAAATTGTTCTATTTGAACAGTAAAAAGAATAACCACTACCTAATAAAAATTGAAGTATAAAAAATATCATACGTAATAACAAGTGTTTTAAATTGTTTAAATAAACTGCTCGACAATTGAAGAGATTCTTCCAAAACATGAAAAATGCACAAAAAATTAAAAAAAAAAAAACACACACAAAAATTCTGAAATATACAGGGGGTTGGGTTTACTTACTTTTCTTTTATACCCTGAATGTTCAGAATTGTAAGTTTGAAAAACGCTTGTTGAAAATTCACTTGAATTACCTAGCAGTTTAGGTTTGGTAACAATACATTATCAAAATTAACATTTCCACACCCTGTCAAACAGCATATTATAAACTTATACAAAAAAACTGTTAATTGTAGCATTATATTTTAATACATATACTTATTAATGTTAGAAATCCAACACAAAAAACCTTATGAAGCTAAAACGTTTATTATTTTGATTTACATTAATTTCCTATAATATTTTAGTTACACGATTCACGAAACAGTTTAGAAAGTAGCATACTAATACTAAAAAAAAAGAAAGGAAAATTGGTCTTTTATTTATAAACCGTTTCGATTTAATCATGTGAACTAGGCATACATAAATATTTACTTTTCTGTTATTCTGTACACAATAGAAAGCCCTTTTGGCGGAGATTCTTGTGAAAGAACTTATTTGCTAAACAAGATTTATATTTACATTCAAATACGTACCCAGTCAAATAATAGTAATAGTTATTTGGGTTAGTTTGCAATATACAGCATATTTACATAAAACTTTGTACATTATTTACATACATACATATTATATAAAATGTTTGGTTCTGGTTCGAGGATATTGTGCGAATTAATTCTATTTTTTGCATTCAATAAACCATAAACATTCTGGATTTATTTTATATAATATCATTTTCACTTGGAATCGAAATAGTCACATCGCATCAGACGTTCAAGTATTTTCTTTCGATTTTCTTTGAGTAGATATCATCGGTTTCTGATTTCTGACTGAATCACTTTCGAGATGGAATCTACGATATTGCGCTGGCGACATCCGCATCAAGAGGACCCTCTTGAAAAAAAAAAGGGTTTCGTATCGATTTCAGTTTATACACCGAACAAAAAATTGTGTCGAACAAATAAGTTAAGTCTATTTTTGAAAATATTCTTTTTCAACAATAGGCTTTTTTTTACCTCAAGCTAGCAGAAATAACGATAATTTTGGTTGAAGTCAAAAATGTCTCTTTTAGAGTGAATCATTTATGGGTGGCTTAGATGGTAATTCTGCTGCGCTGGTGTGGTGTCCATGCCAGCGCAGACACTTGACTCTGGGAAGGAAAGGCGAGGAGACTTGCACTTTTCACTTCTTCTGATCAGAGCAGATGAAGATCAGATGTTGTACTCGATGCTTGAGCAGGGGTTGTTTCTAGACTAGCCCAAGGAGAAAGCCCAATCATATTTTAAGCGGAAATATTCGCAGTAGAAGATCTACATCCATTCCGACTCTGGAAACTCTTTCCCAATGGATTATCAATATGCTTTCCAAAAGAATTGTACCAATAAGTTTGCAAGGCGTCAACATTAAAGGAGTGGTGCCCGCAGAGAAGTGTGTGGAACAGCCTCATTGTCCTCCTAAACAATGATAACCACTACAAAATAGCTTATGCAGATGACGTAGTCTTGCATAGAGGTAAATTCGAGAACTCGCTTTGCGAACACATGCAACATGGTCTTCGAATTATAGAAAGATAGTCCACGGAAGACACTCTGTCCATCAACCCCAAAAAGACTAAAATAGTCCTATCCACAAGAAAGAAAAAACTGGTACTTCCAACAGCACCTAGACATTTAAATACCGAACAATTTTGCCGCAGAGGTTAAATATCTAGGAGTGAACCTCGATTGCAAACTAAAATGGGACTCTCATATTGTTAAGAGAATACAGACAGCATATATCGCCTATGAACAGTATAGACGTACTCTCGGTAAGACCAGGGGACTCTTCCCCAAGGTAGTTATATGGATCTATACAACCATTATCAGGCCTATAATTACCTATGGGGACATAAGGCCGAACAGACTACTATAAGCCAAAAACTAGAGCGCGTTCAAAGAATGACATATGCCTCAACATAACTGGTGCAATAAAAACCACACCAACTAGGTCTTCGGAAATAATGTTCGACGCCCCTGGATACTTATGTCAAGGATGTCGTTTTAGTGACAATGATGCGCTTCCGCACTGTTGGAATAGAACCAAGTGCAGAAGTTGGTTTGCAGAGAGCCCGCATATGGCGTGAGGGAACGAACTCGCTTCCATTGTTGGAGGCCAGACTGAACTCTGTAACAGCATGTTTCGTCTTCAAAAAGTACTACGCAACCAACACGAAAGGCATTGGAAACAACACAGTGGCAGGAGTAAGTAACATCTACACTGATGGCTCCAAAACTGAAACAGGCTCGGGATGCGGAGTATACGCCATACACATATACCAAATGTCCTCCAAACGAAGATTACTGGCATAACCGTCTCGGCCGAACAAATAGTCAGCAACAATATCACTGACAAGATCGTGCACAACCACACGGACATCAGGCAAGCAGTACTAGCCCTATCTAGACCGCAACTCACGTCAGAATTCGCACAATATTACCACCGTACACTCAGAGAGGCGTCGATCAACAATACGGTGGTAGTCAGCTGGATCAAAGGACATGATCACAGCAAAGGCTGCCGATGCTCTAGCCAGAAGGGCCGCCACGCTACAGCCTTCTGGATCGGCCCCTTTGTGGGGCTGACCATATCGGCAGCCAAAGTTATGATAGAAAAACGCTCCCATACCTTTTTCAAAAAGCGCTGGGACGATACGATTGGCTGCAACTTATCCAAGGAACTACTAAGCTATCCAGATAAAGCTGCAGCAAGCCAAAAGCTGTCGTTGAACAGGTAGAGGCTACGCCTGATAACGGGCATCTTGACTAGCCACTGTCAGTTAAACGAACATTTGTTTAGTTTGCATCTCAGTACTACAACATCCTTGTGTAGGGCTTGTAATCAAGAAAACGAGACGATAGAGCACATTCTCTGTGACTGCACTGCTCTTCTGCCAATACGCAGAGCCAGATTAGGCCAATCGTACCCATCGCTAGAAGAGATCAGGGGCACCGCACTCGGCGACGTCATCGCGTACGTGGAATCGCTAGGCTGAATGACGAGCTAAGGATGACCTCTCCTCTTGTGGCGCACAATGGGTCTAATGTGGCCTAAGTGCTACCATACCACCCTCCCAAACTTACAAATATAGATACAGCAGTAGGAGCTCTGAGTAGCTCTGTCACTGTCCAGACAGTATGAGACTGCCAACAATTCATAAAGCAGCTGGCGTCTCGCAATAGAGACACCCTGTCATGGGTGCCAGGGCATGAAATAGCGGAGCAACTTACAAGAGAAGCAGCTGCAACACTATTTCTTGGACCAGAACCTATCTTTGGCATTACGAAAAGCTATGTAATAGGGGAAGACTCAAAAAGCTGGAAGACGCTTCTAGAACTAAGAACAGGCGAAACAACATACCACGTCCCAGTCAATAAAAGCAAAGGAAATTACTGACCTTAGTGAAGGGGATCTAACAGGCCTCCCTTCACAGGCCTCCTTACGGTTCATTGCCCTCTGGGTTACCACCTGGAAAAGACGGGCGAAACGGAATCAGACTAATGCCGCTCTGAGTATGCGGGATACATACTTTACAACTGTGAAGCATTGTGCCACAGAAGACTCATCCATCTGGAGTAACCCCACTTAACGGCTGTGGATATGAAAGAAGCCAATCCCAGGAACATTATAGGCTTTACCAAAAGCCTGGGAACTTACTACATATAAGAGGAAGCAAAATAGATCTAATCATATCGCAGTACGAAGAGGTCCATAACCTAAATAGTAAATACCCTAACCAGCACAATCTACTCGATACCCCGGACCATAAAGCTTTTTAGACAATTCGATCTAAACTGATCGATATACTGGGAAACTGGCTGATACTGATGGAGCTGTATACTGTTGGAAATTCAGAGTTCTAGCTCACGCAAAAAATTGGAGATGTTGACATTGAAAGAAAAGATGGATCCAATACATAGTATGGGAGGTAGTTACAAGGTCCTATAAGTTTTGGTCGAAAAAACTTAGATGAGATCTGGAAATGAAATCACAGACAGTCCTATTTTCTTTTGACTACTGGATTTTTATCTCATAAGATTCTGATTGTGGGGTTTCATTAGAAAAACATGTATAGGTGAGGCCTGCTCGAATTAAGAAAGCTGATAAAGACAAACTCTTATTGATTTGTTTCCTTCCCATCTTTAAAAAACAACCATTGTTGAGAAGATGGCGAAAACCGCTTCGTCTGAAGTTTTCAATCAAAATTTTGGAGACCCACACTTAAAACAGAATGCGGCACTGTCAAAAGTCAGACTATGACAATTTATCCATTGATTCTTCTCCATCATATGTATATTGCGAAAAAGTTTGGTGATCTTCAAGTAGATTTCCAGTATGAACGAAGTCCATTTTTTATTTATATTTCAAAATGACATCCACCTGAGAAGAATCAAAAGAGCGATATGCACTTCGCAAAGTTGTGCTCAACAAAATCATTATGGTCACAATGCATTACCTAGTGGCCTTCGATGAATAACCAGATTTGATAGAAAAGAAGGTAGAAAGAAGAAGTCTCGTTATATTTTTCTACTCAGAACCAAGTTTGAACGATCACATCAAACAAGCTGAAGAGGTTGCTGACGTGTTAGTAGTATCCACAACAAAATCATTGTTTTCTCAACATAGTCATTATTCAGGGACAATCTTAAAATCAACTAACATTATTATTATTTTTTTTAGACTTGAGGAAATATTATTATTATAATGCGTGCACTATTGGCTCAAAATAATGCAGCATTACATTAAGTCACTATATTAAAATTCCAAATAAACCCAATAAAACTTAAATTAATACCTCTTTGCAAAAAATCAAATTTTCCGCACAACACCCTCAAAAGTCATTAAGCGTCTTCATTTCTAGTACCACCCTATCGGTACTACTGCTACCACTATCGTACTCCATGATAGGCGAAACTACATTACTGCCGCGTGGTCGTTTGTCTTCGGATCAGTCGCACTTGAAAGTCACGTTTTTCGGCACGCCGGTACCGACGGCCGGGGCGGAAACGATAGCCGCCAAACGTGCCGCCACCGGCGGCTCTATATCCGAAGGCGCCCGACCACTTTGCCGCCATCATGCAAGTCCTCTGACGCCGAAATGGCGGTTCCTGCGCGCATAATTGCGACCGCACAGCAATTTTTTGAACGCGTGCCGAAACTCTGGACTGAATATGGTATAAATGATGGGATTCAATGTGGAATTGAAGTAGCCCAACCACAAAAACACCGACACTACGTATTTGTCGAATATGTCGGCGTCTATCGGCATTATCACAGCCATAATGAAAAACGGCAGCCAGCAAAGGACAAAAGCTCCGGTAATAATGGCCAGCGTTTTTGCAGCTTTTCGTTCGCGTTTCGAGTCCAGCCCGTCTCTGGCTTTTCGTTTGACTGGATGGTGTTGTGGTTGGTAGGTGGCGTACGATTCTCCGGTGGTGGTGGGCAGGTCCGCTTCCAGCCCATTGGCGAACGACGTCTTTTCCGGACTCGAATTGTTCGACGATACGTTGGTAAATGCTGTCGTGGTTGTGGCTTCCGATATTGTTGGCAGAGGTCGACCTATAACTGTTACTACAGCTGCAGCAATTCCACCTGAAAATGTAATTTTTTTCATTCTTTATCATCTAATGTGTACCGTTGTATGAACAGAAAATGTAGAATATTCAAATGGATGCAGAGCAAAATGAAAAATGAAAGTCCTTTTTTCAACTTCACAAATTCTATATTTCTATTAATCCCGAAAAATGATATTAGATATCACAAAATTTCCATAAAGTAGACACAATTTACGGCACAAACTCCCCAGAAAATTAATTTTTATAATTAGCAATGGTCATGTGCATTGTATTTTCCTAATTATACTTTTGTTATGCTCCATAATCAATTTACTTTACAATAGCCATTGCAATACATAAATGGGTATATACTAAAAGCTCAATTTTTCTACGTGTACTCACAATTTTTCCTCAATTCACTAAACTTTTCTGGTAAAATAAATTTTTCGATCGCTTAGTGTACGCACATGATGTAGAACGAATTAAATTTTCATTCACGATTTCTTTACTTTTTCAAATTCTTCACGGGCAAGATTCGATTTTAAGTGCGAAATTAAATTGTTGTCCGAGGCGTTTTTCATCTGTTTACCGTTTACTTTTCGACTGTATAGACTATGTTGGACTGCCATGATGACTGATTTTTGGTTCTCTATACCTGATTGCTTAAATACGGTCTGATTCCAGCATGAAATCGCGTTATTTTGATACGTTGAACTGAATTTTTCTCTCGCTATTTCCAAGAATAGTATATTGTTGTATTAGGAGTAGAAGCTTTACTTTTTTGTGCTGAAGCAGTAGGTTTGCGAGCCGAACGTAGTGAGGCTTGCAATACTGCTGAAGCACAAAAAAGTGCTTCTACTCCGTATGCAACACGCTATTTTTTCTCCAAACGAATGGGGTAAGATCGGGGGTAACTGGATGGTTAAGCGGCAGTAAAAGTACGAGCGGCACTAAAAGTACTTTTGCTGCCGCTCCAGCGGCACAAAAAGTACTTATACTGCCGCTGCGGTTGCCTAGCAGCATAGAAATTAAATTTCTACCCCCTCGTCAGGTGTTAACCCGCTAGGTTTGCCTACCAGCATAGAAATTAAATTTCTAACATCTTGACAGGTGCTGACAAAGTGCCGTTTTTTTGACGTTTGGAGAAAAATATAATTATTTGCTCGTCTTGTGAAAACAACCTGTACCCCTTTTGTTAACAAATTAACAGGAGGCCAATAATATGCTCAGTTTGCTCAGTGAATAATTATTAGGAGTGGGTCAAGAGTTTACCGAATACAGAGTACGGAATGGCAAGAGCGTTACTGAACTTAAAAAATAATGAATAATTAAATTACATAAAATATTGAAGGATGAAAATTTAGAAACAAACATTAAAAAAAAAATTATCAGCGAACGGTAATTGATTCATCATCATTCAATTCCGAAAAGGAAATAAATCAGGCATATAACTCAACCAAATCTTGACATAGGTTAAACAATTAAGTAAGTTTCGAATTAAATTAGTGTATATTTCACAGTGAGGTTAAGAATTAAAAATTAAATAATTTTAAAAGATATAACCAATTATTGGTAAAACACTTTAAATCAAATCAATAAAAAAAAAGTTAACACTCAATCAGATTCATCAAATTCCAAAAAAAAATAATAAGACAATATACCTCAATATACACTTAAGTGTATAGAAATCGGCCCACTGCTAACTTTTGAATTCATTTTTTTTTTAGAAACTATTCATGAGAATAAAAAAAGAAATATGCCATTTTAAAAACAATTCAATATCATCTAATGAGAGTTGAAATTATGTTTTATAATAATAATCCTATGAATAGTTTCAAAAAAAAAAAAAATTGGTGAAGTCAAAAGTTAGCAGTGGGTCGATTTCTATGTGTAGTTGTGAGTGTAGTGTAGTTGTCATATAGGTTCATTAACAGTCGCTGGCCCTATCATTAGTTTTAAAGAAAACAATGAAGGATTTAGGTTTCCAGGAAATTATTAAATTATTAAAAAAATGATTGAAAATTATAATATTATTATATGGATAAATATGGTCAGCTGCTGTCAAAAAAATAAAATCACTAAAATCAAATTAAAACTGTATGTAATCAAAGTTTAAACGTTGAAGGTATAAAGGAGATATAACCGAAATCCGCAAGTATATAAGTTATTATAGAACCCAAGTGAAAAATTGATCAATTTTTGACGATATAGGTACTTACTCAATAATTTTAAAGTTAGAACATTTTGTCCAACCTTGACCTCAGTTCAGATTAACGATTATGGATTAATAAAATATACATTTTTTAATCGTGGCGGTACCAAAAGTTAAGCAAAGATAAATATATAATAAATTCGATGAACTGAAAATCAGAAATAATTATTTAAAGTTTACTCCGGTGTCAAAAAAGTGAAATTGAAATTTTTAATATTTAAATGTAAAATCTGTTTTTTTTTTTAAAGATAATTCCCCAAGTCAAAAATTTAGTAACTATGTTGGCAACACAAGCTTTTTCTACATGAAAAATTTGAAAGCATTGACAATTTTACATTGTATTGCCAACCTAATGTCAGTTTGACTTTTATCTTTAAAAAAAAAACGCACTTTAATGTCAGTAAAAATAATCAATTATGGTAATTGATCATAAAGCAGATTTCATAAAAAAGGTAATAAAAGCTATAAATCAAAGTCTATACAAGCCTCTATTCCGACAAAAAGGTAGAGTACGGTAGCCATTCAATTTTTGTCACTTGACGAGAGAAGTTGCAAATGAAAGTTGCAGATTCTAGCCTGGAATCGAGGTAGATAGGAGCTAGAAGTTCAGTTTTCTTTATCAAATTTGGAGGTACAGGTATCGACACGCGAGGGTCTTGATTCCTCTGGGAAATCACTTCAAAAACTCTATTCCCATGCTGCACAGAGACGGTGATCTTTAGAGCTTGTTGAAAATGGATATCTTGAGAGAAACGGCTCCTCGGAAAACGGCTCCTCGGAAAGCCCTAAGTAATAGAGGCATTCCATAAAGAGCCATTACTTGAAAAAAAAATAAAAAAAAATAAAAGGACTTACCACGAGGGGGTTCGCAATTCAAACTCAAATAAAACGGTAATCACAAGACTTTCGATTTAAATTTTTGCGATATTCAATGGATTATTGCCTTGCACAACTTTATTCCGTTAAAACACTACCTGATGGTCGATAGGGTATTTTTCTTCACGAGAACGGTAATCAGAGTTGAGGAAGATGGCTGCCACCCAACCAGAGTCGACCTTTCCGGGCAACGGTAAGATTAAAAAAGGCCGAAGAAACGGACAATATGAACAGACAGAGCTTCCCCTCAAAAATACCCAACGGAAAGCGTTGGTACTAAACTGGTACTTCAAATTTAAACGAAAATCGCGCCCTCTCGTTTAATAATTGCTAATATTATTAGCAGCAGAAACTTTTTTTTAATGCTAGTCACTAGACTGTCAACATTAAAAGTAATAATTTAACTTTATACTATAATTGAAAGAAAAAAGGAACCAATACTAACAGTATCATTTCACATATTACAAACCACCTGTGCAGTTTTCGATTTCGAAGCTTGTAGAAACTTCACTATCACCCCTTTATCTTGATAAAATTGTAAAAATTTAGCTCTCAATTATCAAGATGTCAGCTGCAATCGAACTCTACTGCAATTATTTAACAGTAAGTGCAATTAAAAAAAAAGCGAACTTCATTATTTTTTATTGATTGCAATTTTGTCGCTGATACAAAGCAGCTTTTTTTCAAGGAAACCGATACTGTGTTGATGTAATGTATTATTTAATTTTCTATAAATTTCATCTGTGTGCCTACTTTATGGAAATTTTTTGATAATATCATTTTTCCCTTGACAATGGTTTAACAACCGGAACGCGCCAGGATTAATAAAAATATACAATTTGTGAAGTTGAAAAAAGGACTTTCATTTTTCATTTTGCTCTGCATAATGTTGCTTCCCCTTGAAGATATCCTCGATAATCTAAATTCAAATGAATGCCTCTAAAAATTTCAACTTCATCACGTACATCTACGTCAGTATCTATCATCAACTATTGCCGTTTTTGAATAAAAAAATCTGTATTCAATTAATCTGGTTAACTTTTGATTAATTTGATTCCCATGTTAAAAGCTTGTATTCGAAATTAGCATCCAACTGTTACCCAATTAGAATACTTGCAAGAGAATCAAACTTGTCTCTGGAACTGGATGCCTATTTCGCATTAATCCCATTCGCAACATGGTTTGTGTTTTACTACGAATGAGGGCAATAAGATTTATTCGTAAAAAGCAAAATTAAATGAGTTTATTTTTATTTGTGATTTTATCAAAAACTCCATCAGTGGTCGAAAATTTTGAAATAATTGAATTAAAAATGATAAATTGTTCAATATATTTATTTCAATTCCTTGCTGTTGACTGTCAATTTACATTTTTTTTTAACTAAATGTTGTACATGTTTGTATCCCTCGAAGTTTAGTCATATCTTGCAAGCAGTTAAAAGTATCAAAACTAGGGTCTTTAATGTAGCACAAATGGCCGAATCAATTCAACTTATCGTTCTTTCCCTTTCACATAGCTTAAAGGAGCTGTATTATACCCCTAGTTCAATAAAAGAAATCAACCAAGCACGCATTTAACCCTTAAATCTATTAAAAGTGTGCCTATTTAAAATTACACTCCGATATAGGAAAAGAGTTTTCTAAAGTATTACATATGTACATTTTGATTTAAAAAAAACATTGAAAGTGTATTGGTTTCCTTAATTCAAGACAATTGAATTAAATCAGCCTTGGTGACCATTCGACTATTGAATTTAGAGTCCCTTTCGACTTGGTTCGCTTCGATTTTTTCCTGGCCCGCTCTCCTTTCAGGTCCGATTGCCTGCTCTTCTCGCTTAAATTGGTTTTTACTTTATTCGAGAGAGCATCTCCGGAATTTGCTTGCTTGCCTGCCTATCTGTCTGTCTGTTTCTTCTTCGGAGGAGGCCCCTCCGGTATTTCACGAATCAA